CGTCGTCATGTTGAGCCGCGCGGCTGGGCATGCACCGCAGCTTGTGCACGTGGCCAGCATCGGCACGGCGCCACTGACACGCCAAGCTATGCCCAGCATCGTTCGCGTGATTGGACAAGACGCTGCGAATGCGATGCCACACTTTGAAGCCAACATTGCTCACGAGGTCGCGCAGGGGCACCTCGAGTGGCAGCTCGATCCGGTCGCCCGCCCCGTGCTGCACATTACGATCGCAGACCTGCTCTACTTGGACGACGCCAACCTCCTCGCAGGCGCGCCGCCAACGATCGAGCACCTTGAGATCGATCTCTACAAGGTCGTCTTTGCGGTACAAGAAGCCATGCAACCAACAGTGCGAGCGGTTCAGCCTGTTGCTGTGATGGCGGCGGAGCCTGGGACATTGCCCGGGATGTTGGCGACGTACTGGGACCAGCCTATGAACGAGGATGAGGACGAAGACGAGGATGAGGACTATTGACAAAACAAATGGGCGCGTGTAGCTTCAACTCGTAACCTAATCCAACACGTTTTGCTCGTACATCGGATGACGTCGTGCGATCTACAGTGCGATTGGAAAGTCGCACCAATCTGGTATCAAAGCCATCGGCGACTTGCTCGCTCCTCAGGTGGAAACCACTTGGCCGTCACAACTGGCTTAGACCTAGTGCTGCCTTGTCAGAGGCAAGTGCACGACGTCGCCGTCTTTCAGGTGAATCGCGACGGCAGATACGACGGACCGAGCATGGTCGTGGAACTGGAGCACATGAACCACAGTTTCCCGCACACTTTTCTCTGGCTTCCCCGGTACTTCGCGCTCATTCCGTCTCATCGGAGAGTCATTGGCATCAAGACGTACGGCAACCCGCTTCGATTCGGTGCCATCGCCGTCATGTCCAACTGTGGTCTTCCGCAGCGCCCGTATGACGCGATCGTCGGCACGGCGCCGTTGACGAAACGAGCCAAGCTCTCGATCTGGAAAAAGCTTGAGCACCACGAGTGGCAGCTCGGTCGGATGGACCGACCCGTGCTGCACATCAACGTTGCCGATCTGCTCTACTTGGACGATGCGAACCTTTCTCGTCGGCGCACCACCAACGACCGAGCGCCTTGAGATCGATCTCTAAAAAGACATCTTTGAGGAGCGCAACACGATAAGACCACCACTTGAATACGAGGCGCGGTACTTTGCTTCAAGTGATGCCGGGGGCAATGCCCGAGCACGAGGCTGCTAATTGGGCCACGGTGCTTTGAGCGACTGGGCGCGGAATCCATGATGTGGACGAGCCTATGGTTGCCGCCCACGGACCCGTTTTGGCAAAGCGTGTAATTGAGACGCAATAAGACCTGAATTACATCTGCATTGCAATCGTGTACGGTCTACAGCTGTTATGTCGTACTCCAGGTTTGCAGATATGTTTCCAAGACAACGCTTACAGCGACTACCTGCCTTCTGCTCCATGGGCCCGGCAACGTGGCGGCCGGCACTTGGGTTTCCAGATGTATCACCAGGTCATAGCTGTGACCATGGTCAAGCACATGGAAGCGCGAGCATATCCCATGTAGCGCGTTGGATCGCAACAGCGTCATCCAAAGTTCTGATGTGTGGATAGCGTTAGACTCCATCCAAAACGATCAATCCAAATCGCTGCAATTGACGTGTCGCACGGATCTATAGACCCTACCCCCGCTTGAAACGCGATCTTTGACTAGATAGCGTACAATGTCCCATAAACAACAACTGCGATGATACAAGTCGTATGCGATATTCATCATTTTGGAGCCAAAGTGCATTAGTACCAAAACTCTGGTTTCTCTAGAGACGTAGCACTACTTTTCCTGAAGAGCCATATGGATGGCGACCGAGAGCACCATGAAGGGTACATTCGAGCCGACCCGGGGGAGAATCCCGCGGAGGAAGCCACGTGCACCGTCTTTTGCGTGGATCTGGCGCGCCGTGTCCCAGAACCATTTGTACTGAAGGGCGAAGGGCTGCTTCGTTATCGGTACGGTTGAGAGCGTCTGGGTCTGAAGCCGCGTGCGAATGACGTCGAACGGGGTCGTGAGCGCACTCGCCTGCACCCGAAACAACCGTATAAGTGTGAAAGCTATCGGCAACTGTGTCGACGTACGGCGATGCTGCTGCACGCTACAACCGCAAACACCTTGTCCTCTTCCTCCAGAAAGCTGGGCATGTAGTCGGCAACCGCCAGCGCAGTGGCCGCTACGATCACGCTACATACCACGAGCTCTCACGGGTTGTCACAGGCGCAAGATCAGGTATAATACGTGTAGGAGGAGGTCAAGGCCAGCCCCGTCGGGAGGCTGCGAAAGAAGCCTCGCAGTCCTTCGTGCCGAAACACCTATCCGGATACACCACACGTCACGAATCATTCGGCACAGTGGCAACTACCGAGCGCACGCAGTCGACGGGACCGGCGTAGTGTCCGAGCTGCAGGCGCTGCTTGACGACCTATATATCTGGAATGACGTCAAACGAAGGACAGCACGGACGTACGTCGGTCGGCGCCATCACCACCTCGTTCGCGAGGCAGCCCAAGACCATGACAGCGGTCGTGAATTGCATGTTGTCCACGCTAGGAACGGCGTCGTTCTCGGTCGTCGCAGCTTGCTTTTGGAAGTGCTCGGACCCGACCGCGATTGCTGCGGCCGAGACCAGTCCTGCGAGGGCCGGGCTCAGGCCGCGCAAGAGGCCTGGCGTCGTAACCAAGCGCAGAAATGTCTTGGGTGCAGCGACACGGTGGCTCTGCTGGTGGGTCTATGCATGTATGCTTTACGATGCGCCTGATGGAAAGAAGCGATGTACCTTGAGCATGTCGAGCGGGAAGAGGGCCGTCGCCAAGGTGCACGAGACGGCGGCAGCTGTGCCTAGGCGTGCCAGCTCGTCCTTGGTTTGCTGCGTCATCTGGAAGAGCGAGGTCGACGTGGCTTCCGTCATTTTCGTTGCGCGATGATTTGTGTTGGCGCCGTCATCTCGAGGCGCGCACTTTCGTCATCAACTTCGACTAATCGAAGATTCGAAGAGGAATGAGCCAATCCGAATCCGTTTTCTGGCATGTCGCACCAATCGGCACACAAGTGCACTTCGACGTCGAGGCGGATGATCTTCCCGACGGCATCCAACACTCGTCTTCATCCATTGACAAGAATAACTTGGTATGGGATTCGTGTTACGTACTTGTAGTAGCATGCACGGGTATACAACTAACTACACAGTGCAACAAATGTTAGTACATCAACTAAACATTTTTGTTTCGACGACAATCGAGGTGGCTAGGTATTAGCGCGCTGCGTAGAGGCGCGGCCATGTCCGCTGACAACTATTGAAATGACTCATTCGTGTCACCTGGAGGTTCCGACCTCCTACGAAAAATATAGCATGTGTGCGTCTGGGGTGCTGTGGTCAGCGGCAACCGACTGCGTTGCCACCTCCTGTTGTGGCCTGTCCGACGTCCCAAGCTGCAGAGTAGCCGATCGTATCGATCCCTCGTTGGACCGCTACCATCACTCTCTTGACTGATTGATGGTCTTTTCAGCCCACCCTCTCGGCATCCCTGAATGTTATTTGTCGCGCGTACTTGGTATGTCGGCGGGGCAGCTCGGCGGGGCCAGATATGCACAACATACACGATTGAGTAGTACGTCCGAAGCTACTGCTCGTCGCTCGCGATGACGTTCTTGAGCACTTCAAAGGTCGTCCAGGACACGGCCACCGACGGCGCGTGGACGCAGACGCGGGGGCCAACGCCACGGAAGAACGCCTTGACGCCTTCCTGCTTGTAGATCTGCAGCATTGCGTCCAAGAGGCCCCGGTACTGCAGACGCGGGTGTCCGTTGCTACTATGCTACTCATATCGCGCATGAGATGATCACTTGGTTCAAGGTGTAGAGAGAATAATGTCATACGTGGATCTTGGGTTCGTTGACCCGGCACGACGACGGCTTGTCGAGCGAGAGACCTTTGAGCTTCTGTGGGCATCCGCGCATCTAGTTCAGAGTCATCGTCGTGGACGCACGCAAGTCGAGTACCGTCGACGGCTGGTCGAACGACAGCATCTGCGTCTGTAATCTCGTCTTGGCCACGTCCAGCGGGTTGGTCAGCGCACCAGCCTAGGCACACAGGTCAACATCTTGAAGCATGCCAGCAAAAGAAGCCTACCACTGCGCCGGCAATGGCACCCGAAAGGACGTAGGCGCCAACGTTGATATCGCCTGACGGGTTGAGGACCTTCTTGATCGACTCGTTCGTCGACACCATGATCATGCTACACGCCATGAGATACCGAAATACATACCTCTCGCGTCGGTACCTGTAGGGAAGGTTCATGAAGAACGTGGTGGGAAAGCTAATGTACAACGCCCGAAGGCCTTCTTGCCGGATCATCTGCGCATGCGTGATGAGCAGGCCGACCACGTATATCAATGAGATATACCGTTTGCATGCAGTTGGCGACGCCCGAGTAATAGCCCAATTGCAGGCGCTGCTTGATGACCTACGATGCACCATTGAGCCATCGGGCATCCATGTCGACACACGTACGTCCATGGGCGTCATGATGAGGTCGTGCGTTATGGTAGCGATGACACCGGCCGCACCTAGTGCAGGCTACCACATGAGCAGTCCGGCGCGCGCCACGCGGTGCGTACCCGACTCGATCGGCGTGAGCTCGGCCGCGTCGGCGCCAAAGGATTTTTTGCATGCTTCAAAGACGGAAAAGTAGAGCGCATGGGCGGGCAGGCTAGCGCCGAGCATCGTGCTGACGCCACGGAAGAGACGCAGTGGGCCATCTTCGGCCACGAGGCGCTTCGCTGTTTGGAACGCATTCATGCGGATCGCGTTCGAGTTGACGGGGCAGCGCTGGCATTGCATGTGCGTCTGCGCCCCGACGATGAGGAAGGAAGCGTCCATGGATGGCGTACCTTGATCGTGTCGATGGGGAAGATGGAGACGTGCTCGACGACGCCGGCGGCCGAGCCGGCGAGCATGTGATGCACGAACGAGCCCTTCTCGGGCGTCCACTCTTCCCAGTCCTCGTCGACTTTGAAGTCCATTTTGCCAATTGAGTGGTCCAAGCCATACCGAACGCACGCGAACGGCGATTCTCGAAGCCAGCCCGTTCATTTTGGCCAATCCGAACGCGTGCAGGCGGTAAAAATCGGTGCCACCAGCCAATCGGCGCGCGCCGAAGTTTCACCGGTGGTCCATTGGCAATTAAAATACAACCAAAATGCATCGTCAACGACACTGCAAAACAAATAAAAGGTAGGGCGATCGACGATGAAGCATTGTATTATATTATGCAGCCCTCGAAGCGAATGACCCGAAGTTTCCTCAAACTCAAAGTCAAAGCGCGCACGTGGTTTATGCTGCCAAGGACGTCCTTGGACGCTCGGACGAAGTCCTTTTACAGCGATTTGCACGGTATCAAAGGCTTGAAGACAGTGACGAGGCGATGGCGCGCTGGCCCCAGCGCCTGGCGGCCATGGTGGCACATGCGTCGACGCCTGTCGCCTGTCGACAACCGTGCGTCATCCCAAGTCCAGCGCGATCCAGGTGTTCGGGGCGCCGGCTCGCCGCCACATCGCTTGCATACCCTCCGTTGCCACATCGCCCACGGCGAAGTCTGGCGAGCGCAGCTGTTGCAGCGGCTCATACCGCAGCTCGTGGCCAACGTAGCTATTAGCAGGTCGCTTTGGATGGATGTAGCTTGACGTATCCTGATGTGCGTGCTGGCCGAGCAGGATGGGCGGCTGCAATCTCCATACATTGGGTGGTCAACGTCGACCGAGGAACGCTGAAGTTTCGTCGCGGCCTCGGATTCGATGTGTCCACGCGCCTCGCACGCGGCTGGTCCGACGCCACCGACCTTGCGCACTCCATCTGCTTCCTCGATTTCCTTCGTTGAAGGTCGGGCCACCTTCAACACGAACCGGTCTTTGGGATGGTAGCCGGTTCGCGCCATCAACCTTTCGGATTCCAAACCGACTTGCACCATCATCGGCTACGCCAGCCGGTTGCACATGTGACACGGGTCGGAGAGGTGGTGTTTCGTAGACGGCCCCACTTGCATTTCGCCTCACGATTGAAGATGGCGACTACGTTGAACCTCGTTGGCGCGGCCGCAGCCGCCACGGTCGTCGTCGGCGCCGCCGCCCTCCGCGTGAGCTTCGCGCCCGGCGACGAGCTTGCCGAGGACCGCCGCGCGGAGCCGCTGCTCGTCGAGGAGCTCGCGCTCCAGGCCAAGTACAAGTTTGAGGTCATCGACCTGCCCGTGCCGAGCTCGTCGTCGTCCGAGTCCATGAAGGTGCACACCAAGTACTACTACCCGGCCACCGAGTCGCCCAAGGGCGTCATCGTGTACCTCCACGGCCTCAACTCGCACAGCGGTCGCATCACCGAGTTTTACAACCGCAGTCTCCGCGACGGCTGGATTGCGGGCATGATGGACTTTCGCGGCTTTGGCCGCAGCTGCGGCCGCCATGGTTACATTGAGAGCATCGACACGCTTGCGGACGACGCTGTCGCGTTCGTGCAGGCCACGAAGGCCAAGTTCCCGGACCTCAAGCTCTTCGTCCTTGGCACGTATGGCGTCTCTCTTCCCACTGTATCGTGCGAACGATGCTCATGGGATTCCGCGTACTAGGTCCATGGGTGGTCTCACGCTTCTGCATGCAACCTTAAAGATGCCGCCGGGCCTCGTCGAAAGCTACATCTTCCACGCGCCGCCGGTCGAGATCTCGCGAAACGTGCTGCCGCCCAAGATTGTCGAGCTTGTGGGCCGCGTCCTGCTGTCTCTTGCGCCCAAGCTGCCGCTGCTCAAGCCCCATAGCGCACATAGCAACTCGCCGTCGCAGGAAGCGCTCGTACACCACTCCAAGGCTGTGGACCCCAACTTTTACCAGGGCCGGCTGCGCATCGGCACAGCGTACGCGATGCTGAACGCGTCGCTCTCGATCGGCGACAAGCTGCACGAGATCAATGTGCCGCATCTGCTCATCCACGGCACGGCCGACCGCGTCTGCGACATTGCCGGCTCGGAGCGGTACGAGCGTGCGTCTTTGGTGCTCAAATTGCTCATTCTTTTTGTAGCTTCTTCGCCACGTCGGGCGCCAAGGACAAGCAGTTTGTCCGCATTCCCGACGGCCAGCACAACTTACTCCAAGAAGAAGAAAAGTACTGGCGTCTCTACCTCGATACGATCGCCGAGTACATTGACGCCCGCATCTAAAACTCAAAATGAATCGTGGAAGATGCGTTGAGTGTCGCTGTTGGATTGCGATTGATACAAGATTTTACGTCGCACACAACGAGACGCACACGGGAGGAAATGGCTCCAGTTGATACGGACGCCGTCATCCGACACTGAGATTCGAGTCAAGATAGGTCGTTGTTGTGCTGCAGGATAACCCGCCCTCCCACGGAACCCAGCACGGAACCCATGGGAATTGATCGAAGCTGTTCATATCTATCTATCTATCTATCTATCTATCTATCTATCCACTTGTCTGTCGACGAGGTGTAAGAAAACAAGGTTTGGAAATGGATATTTTAGTCTGCCTTAAAAGTCGACATCGAGATCGTCACAGTCGAGACACGAAGCCTTGGATCGATCGCACTGGACTGCGATGTGCTGAACGAGGCAGAGCACCGCGGCGTCGACACCGGCCGCCACGTCGAGGTACGCGCAGGTGCCGGTTGGCGGCGGGCGGATCTTGGCGACGACCTTGCCGTTGCACGTGATGAGCATGCGTTGGGACCACTTGCCTTTGCACACCAGCGTGTAGCGACCGCCGTTCCCAGAGACGTTGCAGGTGTACGTCGACCCGAAGTAACTCTTGTGCACGACGAGCTTGAGCAGCTCCGTCTTGGACTCGCCGGCGTACACGTGGTACGTGGCGCGGAAGGCGACGAGTGCTTTCTTGATGGTCGCCACGACCTCGCGGCTGTTGTCGCTCACCAGCTGCGCGGACGTGGACAGGAGGCCACTGGTCGCACGGAGGCCGAGCTCCGTACCGCCCGTCATCACGTTGAGGAAGCCTTGCGGCGCGTTGACGAACGTGGCGGTCTCTGTCGATACGTAGTTGGTGCTGAGGCCGCCGAGCTTGGTCGGGACGAGCGGAATTGCTTGGAACTCTTGCAGCGACTGCTTGGCACCCATGTTGACGACGCGGAGGGCTTTTGGAAATGAGCGATGGAGCGGCGCGAGCCGTTTGCACAAGGTTGTTGCCGGAGGGTACTCGGCTGGAGCGTGCAGAAAAACCGAACTAATTGTATTCGGCAAGTGTTGTGCAGTGCATTGGATTTGCTTTTTTGGCTACTCGTAGCGTAGATATTCGAGCTGCTTGATACAAAAGAATCTATCAAGTTTGTACCGAAAAACCCCTGCAAACCATATGACAACTCAGGTCAACAACGGTGACTTTGACCAAGAGTACATAAATAACTCTTGCTTTGACCGACTCTTTGATACGTTGATGTCACCAGCGAGATTGTATTTGGCAGCTCCAGCGAGGTTGTGGTGTCTGAGGAATCTTGCGCTTCCGATACCCAGGACGTCTGGGTGTACGCACACGCTAGATCTCCGGTAGAGCCAAGCCTACGGACATGGCAATGCACTTGCAGCAAGCACACACAAGAGTTGTCCTATCTAACCACCATGCGCCACGACGTCTGGCTCCATGACTACATCACACTGGCATCCTCCACGCCTTGATATTTGAGTTGATAGTTCGTTGATACATTGCTGTATTGCACGGAATTGTTGCGCGACGTTGTCATGGCAACAACGTTGTGCGGTGGCTGGTGAGATTGTCAACCCTTGCATTCGGGACCCAGGACTGGCGACATGGCATTCAGTGGTGTCTTGCATTCTCCTACGCCGCGAGCTCGCTGGTCGTCACGAATGGCCACGGTGGCAGAGGAGCACTCAAAATGGCTCCGATGGCGGCTTCGTCTGTCGGCTGCGCAACAGCCCGCAACGCGCTCTACAACCATACAATAGTGTCATGCAAAAATCGTCCACTAAAATGCCACGCACGTCCATGTCTCGCAGACACTCGTACAGCTCGTTGCGCTCGGCGAGGAGCGACGCAATGTCCCGCCGGTCGCTGTCCTGCAGGCCGCCGACATCGTCCAGAGTTAGAGAGTTAGCACCACTCGTATACAAGAACACGTACCAGGGATTGAATCCGGCCATGGAGCTCGGCCTCCAGCGCGATATTCTACATCCTCTGGAACGACCAAACATATTACGCAGCGTGTATAATACCAGTCGCTGGAGCGGACCCGACCACGGCGCCGGCTCGAGAGGCTTCTTGGCGCTGCGCAAGCTCGGTCGCTTCGCTGGTAATTTGGTGTGCAGCGCAGTGCGGAGGCTGGCGACGGCGACTTCTGCGTCCGAAATCGAGCGCAAGGGTGATGGTGCGTCATTGTTGTTGCTCGTTGAGCGTTCCATACTAGTAGGACGATCCGTGTCTTCGTGGTGGGACTCTGTCGAAATGGCTTCGGGAAAACTGGGGCCCGCCGACTGGAACAAGCCCTACATAGCGCAGCAGGTCGATAACTTTATATAGTGCGTGGGTAGAGCCTACGTTGCGCATGCTGAAGCGGGGCACGAGGTTCACGTTCACGTCCGCGACGGCACTGGGCTGTGTGCTCAAAATCTCCTCGCGCCGCGCGTACGCATGGTAGCCGCGGGCCGCGTCCGGGCAGTTGCGATGCACATAGTCGTGGATCCAGTTGAGGAAATCGAAGTGTTCGTGAAAGACACCGCGCACGAGTTTTTTCATCGGGATTTCCTACGATCAAATTGTTGTACAATATTGTCTTTATGGCATTGGTTTGCTTGTACCTTGCGCACTTGGCACGCATCAAACGCCTTTTTGAGAATCCCGAGATTGCGCTCAAACTCGGGCTCGTACGTCGCGTGAAAGTTGACAAGGTGCAGCGCGACTTTGCCGGGAAAGATGACGTCAAACACCTGGCAGTACGCAATGCCATCGGCGAGGTGCTCGATCTTTCCGTGTCGTGAGCTAGGCGGACAACATGTACACGATGAAAAGGACCTTGGTGTAGTCGGTCTCCAAGAACTCGTTGAGCCAGCTCAAGAGCTCAAAGCGGCCGATGCCCCGCGCCTTGAGCTTGCGAATCGCCATGGCGACGGTTCAAGATCCAATTGCGCCAATCGTTCGAGCAAGGGTATATAATAAATACATTTATTATTTACCCTTGGTTCGAGACAGCGGTAGCTTTGTTGAGTGCGCGTCTTTCAAATCAAGATCTTAAGCCAAACGTTATAGCAAATAGCTATAACAGATGTGTTGTGCACACAATTGACTCCTGCCGAGTCACTGGGCGCGCCGCGTGTGCCAATGTCGTTGGCGATGGGACGATCAGTGGCGAGTGTACCACGCCGTCGGAAGTTGAACTTCACTAAATCCGACCCAGATGGCTGAAATTGCGGGAAATCTGTGTATATTTCACACCTACTCGCGTCCAGCAAGCAACAACGCGCCGGGCCAGTCCGCTGTCCGAACCACGTCACCGGCGCACCAATGCTAGCGGGAATCAAAACGAGCATCATCCACGCAGCTGCGCGCTTTCGACGTCTGTGGACGACGACGCCGGAGGACCTTCGCACGTCGCGCAATCGTCGCGCCAATCCAAGGGTACATTTTAGGTACCTTGCGCCAATCCCACGCTCCTGTATCGTCTTTTTCTCGTAAATTCCCAAATCGCAGGGTTGGTAATGTCATTTTTACGGCTAATAATGAGTCCGTCATCAGTTTGCCTGTCTTTGCCATTTGCCAATCGGTAAACTTGACGATGCTCTCGCGGCGCGTACTCGGTCTCCTCCTCCTTCTCACGCAGCTCGTTGCGTCCTTTACCAACGACGACGTCGACGCAGCGCTGGCGTGCCACGCGACAGTCGCGAACCCGATCTCGTCTCTCAAGCCCGGGGCCTTTGCGACCAACGCGTTCTTCTCGTGCTTCCGGAACGAGTCGGAGACGATCGCGTTCATGGATGCCATGGCCGCCCGCGTGACCAAGAACGTCGTGACCAAGTTCGAGGTCGCCACGTCGTACTTGGGTCGGCCGATCTTTGGCTACAAGCTGTCGCCGCCGGGCGCCTCAAACCACGCCATGTACGTGCAGGGCCTCCTGCATGCGCGCGAGTGGGTGAGCAGCATGGCAGTCGTCTACCATCTCGCGGTCCTTCTCGACGCGATCCTCAACAAACAGTCGAATACACCGTACACGTGGTACATTGTGCCTATTGTCAACGTCGACGGGTTTCTCACGACGTGGACGACGCACGAGCGGTACCGGCGCAAGAACATGCGCCCCGTGCCCACCGACTTTCCGAGCATTCCCAACCAAGCCGAGGCCGGTGTCGATCTCAACCGGAATTGGGGCCCGCTCGACAAGTTCAATTTGGACAATGTGACCCGGATCGATTTGACGTACCCAGGGACCGCGCCGTTTAGCGAGCCCGAAGTGCTGGGCCTGCACAAGTGGTTCCAAGCCCACGCCGAAATTGTGGGCTACCTCGACATGCACTCGTACGCGGGCATGGTCTTGACGCCGTACGGCGACAGCAACGAGACGCTGCCGGCGCCATACGCCTCGCGCTACGACGCGCTCGGCAAGACGATCCAGGCCGCGGTCGCCAACGCCTCGGGCACATCCTACGACGCCAAGCCCGAGTGGTACCTCTACTTGTCCTACGGCACGTTCCAAGACTACATCTTCCGGACGTACCAAAAGGCCGCGATTACGTTTGAGCTCCACGGCGACGACTTTATCGTACCAGCCAGCACGATTGCCATGCGGTGCCGCGAAGCCCACGCGGCGCTCACCGCGTTTGCGGGCAACGTCCCCGCCTTCTACGACGGCCTCGGCCTGCCCATCACCAGCACCACGACAAGCCTCGCCACACAGCCGCGCCTGTCGCCGCTGCTGCTCGCCGGCGCCTGCCTCCTCTTTAGCCTAGGCGTCGCACGATAGTGTACGTCGAAGAAGGCAGTTGGTTGTAATAATGCGTCGTGGTGCTTGTATCATGCGCATGCTCGTTGGTGATGGGACCGCCTGCGTGGCCATGCAGCGACGTCGGCTGCATCGGTTCAGCGCATCAGTGGCCGCAGCGGTAATGGCGTACGTCGCCACGTGGTACGGCGGAACGCCGGCGGTCGTCCGCGCGGTCGTCGGCGGTCGGCGGTCGCTGGTCGCTGGTCCCACGCGACCGACGAAATATTTCACGCCCATGTAACACGACGCTGGAAATACTGTCACATCTTATACTCTGTGGCAACGCATAAGAATCGAATCGAACAATGCGCCTCCTGCGACTTTCGAAACCTTTGAAATCGAATACCTCGAACAATACGTAAACGAACGCAAGTCAGTCGCACGCTGGGTAGAGTAGTCCCATTACCTCGGGCGCTGATTGGCCGCTGCAAAAGACACGGACCGACCGAGTGAGCTCACGCTACGCCAAGTTCAGCATCAGGTAGGCGACTGCTCCGCCGAGGCCGTCAGCATCATGCGTGTACCCTGCGTAGGACGACGTCTCATGCTACGAAGGCACGTCTGCATGCTGCTGCTGCTAGCAGCGGCGGTCGCGGCCCAAGTCGACTATCTCTGGACGCCGGTGCGCGCCACGACGTGCGTCAACTGCGACGTGCAGATCACCGTGCCGAGCTGGAAGGGCCTCCTCGAGAGCAAGGGCCTTAGCATCGCCAACCTCAAGACGTGCGGCCTCGGCAACGTGACGATGACGATCGAGTACCCGTATGGCAACTACGCGCGCACGTCGTCGGTGACGCCGACACTCAACTGGACCAACTCGGACCACGTCGCGTACAGCGTGCAGGACACGACCGCGCATGTGCCTGCGACAGCGGGCGCGAGCTTGCTCTCGATCCCGCTCTCGCCGGCAGCGATCGCGGCCTTTGCGTCGGATGGCCCGTCGACGCTGGTGCTGACCAACCTCAACAGTCCGTTTGTCAACGCCACGTACACGGGCTTTGGCTCGATCTCGGTCACGGCCGCCAACATCAGTCCCGCCTGTATTAGCAGCGGCAACGGCAACAACAACATCAAGCAGACGCTGCTCGAGCCCACGAAATTCAAGATTGGGCGCAACTTGACCGGCCTCACGCTCTCGCTGCAAGGCAACATCACGGCGCCGGCGCGAACCATTGGTACGTCGACCGATGTCTCCATGACGTTGATCAGCACGGGCGTCGTGCCACCCAACACGGTCTTCCAGCTCCTCTCGGCGCTCGAGCTCTCGCACTTCAACGACGCGTTCACGTCGCTCGCTGGCGTCCGCCTTCGGTTACCGCGTGGCGAGTACGAGTGCGTGCCGTACGCGGGCGCCCCGCGCTTCACGGGTGCGCTCAACGGCACGTTCTTTACGACGCCAGACGATGCGCTCGTGCCGCAGAACACGGCGTTCACTCTCACCTTCCTCGGCGTCTCGAACCCGAACGCGACGATCCATGCGCTCCGTGTGTTGCAAATCAACGCGTATTACGTCAACCCGACCATCTTGGTCAACGTGCTCGGCAGCACGTCGGGGGACACCAAGTACTACACGGTGCTCCAGGCGGCCTTTGACGGCGCCAACAACGTCTACGACCTCGCGTCGACGATCCTCTTTGGCATCTGCCTCGTGATCTCGCTCTTCATCGTGTACAAGGTACGCACTTCGATCCTTGGTGCTGTCGCCATTTTTACAAAAAATATGTCTCATAGCACGGCCTGGCGTTTACGAGCTCGACCGTGTGGACGGACCTCGTGTCGATCTCGGTCGTCCTCGCTTACGTCTGTTCGTTCTCGGCGTACTTTCTCTGGCTCTTCCGCCCGTCGTCGATCTTTGTGTACCTGACCGCGGGCCAGTACCTCTTCACCACCGTCATGATCGTCTCGCTCTGCTTTCACTGGTCTGTCATATTTCTCTTGGCGTTGTTGGTACTTTTCTCAAGGCAAACGGGTGTAGGGCGAGCGTGCTCCGCTTGCAGCTCTTTCGGAAGCTCACGTTCAAGTCGCCCGTGGTCTTTATGTACATGGCCATCAACATGGTGCTCCTTGGCGGGCTCCTCGGCTGCCTCATCGTCTTTAGCGGCCAGCTCGAGTGCGTCTACACGGCCAACGTGACGGGCGCCTTGCGCTACAGTGCGCTGGTCGATGCGACGTCGCCGCCGCCCGCCAACGGGTACCAAGTGCTCGACTCGCTCGCCATGTGCAGCATGAACGGCTACTACGTGCTCCTCGCGCTTGGCTTTATGGTCTTTACGCTCTTCCTCGTGCTCTTGGGTGGCGCGGTCATGTGCCGCGGCCGGTCGCTCATGCTCTCGGAGGCGCAGCCCGTCGACGACCGCATGAACATGCGGAAATCGCTCACGATCTTTTACTGCATCATTGCGAGCACGGTGGTCATTTTCATCATCTCGGACATCATCTACATCGCCTCGTACATTGTCGCGAAACCCATTGAGCGCGACTTTAAGGACTTTGGCAAGACGCCCGGTCCGTCGACCAACGACCAGCGCGTCTCGACGTTTGTGTGGTACCTCTTCACGATCTGGCTGCCGCAAATCGGCCCGCCGCTGCTGTTGCTCTTCCTGCATTACGACCCGAAACGCGAAGACGACATGCTGGACGAGATCGCGGTGCTCTCGGCGCCCAAGGACGCGTACCGATGCACGAACCTCGGGTCGCTCGACACGCCCGAGTCGGAAGCCGTCGGCGACCTCAACGTGTTCAAGTCGCACCGAGACCACGGGCGGCGGTACGTCGAGCGCGCGGGCACGTTCCTCGAAGACGTCTCCAACAAGCTCCACGTGATCGTCAAGCTCAAGGTGCCCGAAGGCGCGCTGCCGAGCGTCTGCTACATGTCGCTGGCCTTTTGCACGCTGCGCACGGCGTATCGCGGCGAGCAAAACAACCGTGAAGTGCTGCTGCACACGCTGACCAAGGACGCGGTGTGGAAGCCCGTGGCCGAGACGGAGCGCCTCAACGAGGCGATGCCTGGCGACGCCGACCAGTTTCGGAGCTCGACGCTGGGCATGAGCAACGTCCCGTTCGTCGCCGTGCTCTCGATTCCGGTGGCCGGCCTCGCGCCCAACACGCTGCTTCGGTTCCTCCTCCACGCATCGCTGCCAAGCGAAGACGACGAGGACGAGGAAGATGACGAGGCGGTGACGCTGCCACCGATCCTCGAGTTTGTCACGACGCCGCAGGCCGTCATGGACGCCGCGTCGCACGGCCAAGCGCTCGTGGTGAGCGTCGCGGACGCGCATGACGTCACGTGTCATGAGCTCGTCGTCCGCAAACCGTCGTCGGCGTTCGCGTACGTCAACCCGAAGCTGTACCACGACACGAAGCTCAGCGTCACGACCGTCTCGATGGGCGAGGCGAGTGCGGGCGACGAGCCGTCGCACCAGAACATGGGCAACATCATTCGGTACTTTCAGTACGAAGCCGAGGTCGGCGACGGCGGCCTCGTCGTCGAGGAGCTCAAGGAAAGTCGGTTTGCCAACAGCATTCCTCGGCAGCTCCTCGATCTCTTGGCGGTCGAGCGCGCCGACGACGTCGAGGTGGCTTCCAAGGACGTGGCGGCATTTTTGAGTCTCAAAAAGCCCACTAAAGACGGCGGGTTTTACAACCAGATTCTGCAGACAATCCAGGACGAAGGCGACGCGACGGTGGTACGCATGTGGCTCGAAGACCGGCTCGAGCGGCGGAAAGAGTACCTCTCGCAGCTGCGCAAGACATTCAGCTGCTCGTCCAGCGCGACAATCAAAAGCGGTATTTCAAGGCCAGCGTCGAGAAAAAGTCCCGCGACCTCAAGTTTGTCCCGATCAACTTGCATGTGGAAGACTACCTCGTCGGGCCCACGAACGCGTTTGTGAATGAAGAGAAGCGCAAGTCGTCCCAGGACGTGTCCATCTACGAGTTTACCACCGTGGGCGCGATGGCCGCGCACTGCTACAAGTTCAAATCCGGCGGGCTCACGTCCATGGTCAACAAGGTGCTCAAGCTCCAAGCCCAAGTGGCCGAGAACGATAGTGGCCCGCGCTGGTCGGACCAAGTCCGCGCGCTCGACGACCTCAAGTGGGACGTCAAGCTGCGCATGGACGTGTGTTTCTCGCAAGCGCTCTCCGCGCTCGTCGCGAGCTTTGTGCGGAAGATTGAGCTGGCGCTGCAGAGCCCCGACATCACGAAGGGCGAGTCGATCCTCAACCAGCTCAGCCGCCTCGGCTTCCTCTTCCAGGTCGAGTCACTGCTCTCGACGCACGGCAATGAGATTGGGATGCTTGAAGACATGGCGGCCGCCGTCGAGCGACTCTCGACCGTCGCGTTTGTGCTTTTGGACGTCCGGGACAAGCCGTCCGGTCGATTTTCGTTCCGGAAGCGGCTCACAATCAAGGATCTGCATGCGAGCAGCGACCACAGCCTCAACGACGATGTCGTGGTCAAAGTCCACGTGTCGGAGAAGCCCAAGAGCTTGACCAACTCGAGCATCAAGTACGTTGTGAGCGTGCACGTCAACTGCACGGACACGCCGCTGCCGGGTCGTCTCATGGACGGCGGCGAGATTACCGTGACGCCGCTCCTCTTCACGCAAGGCATCAACGAAATGCAATCGATCGCCAACAGCACCGAGCGCGCCAAGACGGAGCTGCAAGACGCGATCAACCTCCGCAACCTCAAACCGCTGGAAGACTTTTGCAACCAGTACATGCGCTCGCACCAGGTACACTCGTTTTTCGTATATGTGTTTTATGGATCTTCTTGTCTAGTCGTGGTCGCTGCAGCGGGCCGCCAAGCGCAAGGGCAGTGATGGCGACGGGCTCTCGGAAGCCGAGATTACCCGGCAGCTGCAAACGCTGCGTCTCGCGATCGAAGAGTCGGCCAGCAGCCTCGTCAAGACCAAGCGCCCGGACATTCTCACCAAGTCGTCGGACCTCTGCCGCGGTCTCGGCGGCGGTCGCGTCACGATCTGCAAGAGCGCGAAGGACCGCACGGCCATGTCGGTCACGCTCGAGCAGGTCCGGATTCTGCACCGGTTCCACGGCCTCCCGGCGTACAAGGTCGCGTCGACGGTCGCCGTGATGCGCACACATGGCGTTCGCATTGAGAACGCGCTCAAGAACACGGGCAAGCGCCAGTTTGCCTTCAACAAGCTCCAGCGGTACGCGATGCCCGAGGACTACCGCTGTCCCGAGTCGGCAGGCGGCACGGGCAACATTAGCTAACCGTATCAACCTCAATATTACTTGCATCGATCCGATAGTATCAAGCTGCGAGGACGTCGCTGCTTTGCTCGAGATGGAACGGACTGGCGGAGCGAGAATCCCTCGGGCGGAGTGAGAGAGGAGCAAGGCACGCCTGCGCCATCACGGCCCGGCGAGCGAGTACAGCAGAAGACGATTAAAAGTCGTGATGGATGCAACGTTATTGTACACACAACGACACATCTCGTATAATACGAGTACAAGGCGTTGTGGGTCCGACGCGGGCTAGGTGTCGCGCGAAACGGGTTAGGGTTACGAAGAGAACGCGAGTTGGTGCAGCTGGTGGGCCAAGTCGATGCAAAGAAGCGACGTGCGGTCGGCGCTGACGCAGCGCAGCGACAGCGGCACACTGTACAGCGCCGCGATGGTACTCGATGACGTGGCATCGCCACAGATCTGGACGCCGTCCGAGGTTGCGATGGCCAATACGGACGGATCGAGGTCGGTTGTCAGAAGACCCAGCGGACGACCCCCGCTGCCGGCGTACGACCCAGTCACCTTGCCATGTTTGAGCCACGTGCAGGTGCCGGATGCGTCGAGCACGACGCAAGTCTACGCGCCAAGTCGTCGCACCTTGTAGCTGGTGTATTGCGCACCCGAGGCGAGAGCCAGCACGAGGCCACGCCAGGAATATGGTCGCGCAGGACGCGCAGCGGCGCTGCTGGGCGACGAAGGTCCCACACACTACCGACGCCGTCCTACGCGCCATGAGCCTTTGTATCCTCCTTGTCGCTTCGTACGGCAGCAAAGGTATAAAAGGTGTGGGCTTCCGGACAGCTCGTCGCGTGTCGAAGGCCCCGTTGGGTCGACGCATCTTCAAACACCAATGGCGGCGCCCCGGATCGCGTGTCCCAGAGGCGAACGGTGCCGTCCATCGAAGCTGTGAGCAGGAGACTCGAGGCCACAAACTCGGCGCTGAGATCGTCACGATTGAGGCCGTCGCGAGAGAGCGGTTGTAGTACCTCGTGATCGCGTCCAAGTGCCCATCTAAGCGACCGAGCGGCGCCATGCGGTCTGCATCGTGCAGCAGCACGAGGCCGTCCATCGAGCCACTGACGAGCGTCGAGCTGCGCACCGCGAGCGTGCTCACGCTGTACCCGTGCGCTCGGTACTCGATTGCGTGGTCGTCGTCGTCGCTGGCCGTGTTGAGGTATCGCACATGGCCTCGCGCATCCCCGAGAACGAGGTGCGTTGGCGTCAGCACCGCCAGCGACCGCTACACAAGCCCACCATGAGACCGGATCGATTCGAGAGCGCGAGTGTACGGCGGGGGCGGGCGTTGCCATGAGGCGCGCGCGCGTGTTGTAGCGTCCGTGGCGCCAGTTGCCGACCAGTCTAGCACCGAAAAAGAGTAACAATATTGTCTTCTAGTCGGTAGACGACAATGTACCGATGCAGCGCGATATAGCGCTTGCGCCAGTCGTAGTCGGGACAGAGGGCGTGCACGTGGCGGTCGTTCTCAAAGTCGAGATGCTTCCAGCGGCGCTTAACGATTTGCTGCCAGCGCTGCTGCCCAAGCTTCGAGTGGTACACGAGGCGGAACCAGTCGCTGCAGACGCCAGCGACGTTGGCAAAGTCGCGGCTGTCGAGACAGCTCCAGATCTGCAAGAGGACGTATGCATCGCCCGGCATGCGCGACTCGGAGCTGCGCCGTCGGTCGTCGTCCTCCATGTCCCCGAGGAGGTACCAGAGACCTGCCCAGTTGGCTTCCGGCGACTCCGACTCGGAGTGGCGCGGTGTCGACGACACCGACATTGGCTTGGGCGGCGGCGCAGCGAGGTACCGGGACACGTGGTCGACCTTGGACGCGATGGACTGCCACGCATCTTGCTTGCGCCGTATCTGCACATAGTCGTCGGTCTCGTCGTTGACGGCGAAGCGCCGCTGCCAGTCGCCAATGGCGGCGTGGATCTCAGCGACGGCTTCGGCCTCGGACCAGGCGTCGACGGCCAGCGGCGGCGGTGGCGGCGGAGCATACGGCGTCGACGCATAGTAGGGCGAGTACGTCGTCGGCTCCTCGTCCATCCACGCGCCGTCGGCGTCGTCGTCGTCGTCGTCGTCGGTCCAGTTGCGGTGCATGGGCTGTGGCAAGATGAAGAATCCAAAGCCGTATCCGATTGACCAATCAGAGGGCTGACCGTGCCTCTTGCGGTTGAAGTTTCGAGTTCCCGCCACACTTTGAGGAACCGACCAACTACCGGTACCGGTACACCCTTTCAATCCAGTTGCATACCAAGAATACGTACTGTAGTCTCTAAACCAAAGATTGCGAACAATAGTGCTTCGACATGAAGGACAATATCTTCGAAATGACAGACAATATCGTTGTTGTACACGTACTGCCTCATCCAGCGTAGGAGCGACAGATATGAATGTCTTGCAGCGAATGAATGGCCTTGCCGAGCCACTCGTCCTCTTCGAGTACGGCCTTCGTGCCCTTGAGCGCAGTTTGCTCTTTCTCGAGGCGCGCTGTCTTGGCCGCTGCATCCTCGTTGGTGCGCGCCGGCGCCTGGCTCTTGCTTGCGGTTCAACGCCATCGTGTTCTTCGGAGGTCGGCGTGTCGTGCCTTTTTCTGCACGTGGCCAATGGCAGGCCTCTACAAACGTGGATTTTTCACCCTCCGATCCACACTTGTCCACGATTAGGCGAAATTGGCTTCCACGTTTTTTAAACTTGATTAAAATATGCAAAGATCGGTCGCCGGTTCGATTCTACCGGTACCCTCCCTGGCTTTGTTGGTCGCAATCATCGTCTCAGCCGAGCCAACGCATGCTGCTGCTTACGCCCATGGCGGCGGCAACGATCGAAGACCCCTTGGCGGCGCTGCGGACTGCATTCCGCATCCTCACCGAGGGTTTTGACTCAAAACCCTCGGTGAGGATGTTTAGAGCAGCTCAAAACTTTTGAGCTGCTCTAAACAACCATCTGAGCCGACTTGCACAGCTGGCGACCGAGACGTACCGGTCACGCAAGGCTGCGGACCTAACCGTTATAACGCAATAACGTTATGTTACTAACCTGTTACTAACACTGTTACTAACACTGTTAGGTTAATGCTTCAAAATCCAATAACGTAACAGGCCATAACGCATCGCTAGCATGCAGCGTGAGGCAGCATGCTCAGCCCATACGTGCTCTCAGGAACACTCTCTGCGTCATAAGCACATTAACATTGCAGTCATATACGTGCATATGTATTACAAAATGCCTAGAACAAAGCCGGAAGCACGATGCCATTGCCAAAAAGTGCTGCCAGTGTGACCTTGGTCGAGGGTCCGCAGAAAGGGCGTATATGACGCAACGTTGGTGTCCGGGAGCGGTGGCAAGGGGCTTGCAGGAGGCGCCAAAGATGGGCGGGGCCCAAGGGTAACGAGCTCTTGAGACTCAGCGAGGTCGGCTACGGCATGAGTAGATGGTAACGCCGAGTCGTCCGGTCCCAGCAGCTCGAGGATCTCGGACCAGAACTCAATGGCGTCGGCGCCTTGCTCAATCACTGGGTCCTCGGCCTCGCGCGGCGGCGATGTGACGGCACTCGTCGACGTGCTTGGCCATCTTCGCCGGACGGGAATCAAACGCGGCAGGCTCTGAAACAGCGCCGTACCCATCCAAGCCCATGTTCCGATAGGCTTCAACACAGGCCTTGCACCGGATCTTCCACCACTGATGGTTGCGCGGCAAGTCGTGCTGCTTCTCGAAGAGCTGCCAGTTATCGTTCACGCGCTTGGTCATGACGCAGGCACCACCGGTATATTGTGCGTTTGGCGGCGCCAGCGGGCTTGAGATGTGGCCAATCAGAGCGACGCTATGCGTCTCGGCCAATCAGAACAGTCCATGGACTATCTTAGTCCATGTGTTAGTCAATTGGTACTAACGGTTACTAACCATGTTAGTAACCGTTATGATGTTACGAAAAATCCTATAACCGTTATTTCGACAGCCTTGGGTCACGCTTAGTGATTCGTTTGTTTCATTTGATGTTTCAAACAAACGTTTCAAACCCGTTTCAAACAAGCCCCTGGTTTCACTCGAAAGAACTTGATTTTTGTATTGGGCTGACGAATAAAAAAGAAAAATCAATCCTTGGCCGTTTGGTTCGCAAACAACTTGCTTTTTGTATGAAATAAAACAGCGGCAACTAGTTGCCAACCATTTCGGGTTTGATCTGTGGCGACCATGCGCAAGGCGGCAGACCCTATCGTCGACCCGTTTGGCGAGCTTACACAGTACCAGGCGTGAGAAAGACAGCGCCGCGCAAATGCAAGGCGTGCAAGACGCTGGTGACTGCGCCCGCCCAGCGCATGAAGTCGCACATACGCGGCTGCGAGTCACCGTGGCCTCGGCCTTCTGGGGCCGCCCAATCCGATGGCCAAGGCGAAACCCGGTGTATTAGCTGGTATGCTACTACATCAAGTTACCTCTTACGCATCTCATGTCTAGGCATACCCTCGCAACCGAACCCGAGTACCCCATCTGCGACCTTGTCTCTTGAGCGCGCACCTCCGCTGCGTCGCCCAAAATCACGGCGTTCCTCGACGTCCATGGCGTAGGCATTCGTCACGCACCCGCTTTTTTGCGGCATGCGCCAGCGGCTGACGACTGTGAACGGCACCGGCTTCGTGCAGCTCGGTCAAGGCTCGATCAACACGCAGTGCCATGCAGCTCTCGAGGCGCTCAATGCAGACCTCTACACGAAGACCAAGGAAGAGTTCACCCTCTGGCTGCCCGCCCGCATACCACGGACCATTTCTTCGTCAACTCGCGCACCAAGCCGCATCTTCTGTGGGCCATGATGGATGACTCGTGCGTCTACAACTAGGCGCCGCTGCTTGTCCAGGTCCATGCGATGCCGACGGGTTCGGTCAGTGGCGAGCGCAACCACATGACGACCAAGCGGTCGCCTCGGCGAAGCGCTCCCGCATCGTTTTCTGCAGTGCCAAGCGTCAAGTCGCAATCAGCTTCAATGGCAAGCAGCTCGCATGCGTCCAGAGCGCAAGTAGAGAAAGTAAATATATCGACCATCTTGTGAGTCCCGGGGCGGTGCCTATTGCACCTGCCACCGGGGTAGAAGTAGATTACGGCACGTACGACGTAGACGACATGGAGGACTTTCCGCTCGTGGAGGACATCGTCGCAGCCGTCGATGACTTCCTCATAGAAGTGGATTGGGCCACAGAGGATTTTCAGAGTGCCACGTAATGAAACAATTTTGGCCGTTTGAAACCCGTTTAAAACGCGTTTGAAACAATGAAACAAACGTTTTTATTCTTGAGCCGTTCGAAACGAATCACTAGTCACGCTCCTCATGCCACGTGTACTACTCTACCTAGCTGGCGACCAGGCTGCCGACCGAGACGTACTACAGAGATTTCGCAAGTCACTCCCCGTTTCATCTGCGTTCTATTTTATGTGGAGGGAGACGGGACGCAAAAAGTAAAAATTGTGATTTCGCACAGGACATCCCGTCTCCGTCGGCATTCGAATGCAGACGAAGACGGGAGCTACCTCAACCTTGATTTCGCAAAGAATTCCATCCTCGTCTGGTCTTGTGCTACTGCTGCAATAGCGTAACCTCATCATAATCGATTTTGTCGTCCCGCGAGCTTGTGGTGCTGCTTCGCTGCAGTCGCCGTATCGGTTATTGAGCGGCCGTTGGTTCCGGACACGCGCCTCGACGTCGACTCGATGAATGACGCCGATACAATCCTGCATCTCCGCTTTGATGTGGCTTCTTTGACGCGCCTCTCACGTACTCTTCAACTCCCGGCCGTCGTTATCACCGAGGGTCGGGAACGATGCCTCGCTGTCGAAGCCCTTTGCGTTGCTCTCAACCGCTTGGCCTACCCTCGGCGGTACTGCGATGTGATGATCATGTTCGGTCGCTCGCGTGAGTCTCTGTGCCGCATACACGACCGCCCGCGCCTCTGCTCTTGTCTACCAAGAAGGGACGCTCGTTGTTGGCTTGGATGAGGAGGATGAGGTCGTCTTCCGCAGACCACCAAGTCGTGCCCTTCGGTGTGACCTGGTTAGGCCCATCGTCTCCGCCGACGCTGGAATCGTTCGAGGAAGCGTGACCCGAGTCGCTGTCTTCGTCGTGATCGGGGCGGTGGGAGCGGTCGTCGTCCGACGAGATCGGCCGATTGTCAGTCATCGCGCCAAAATGAAAATGACGTGAGCGCGAAATGCCGACAGGTTAAACTAAGTTAAAGCCTCAGTCACGGTTTGACGTACTTTAACCTCTTGAATGAAGACGGGAGCCTTCGGTCCCCGTTTTTGATCGATTTGGGCGAATTTCAAGATTAATTTTCAGAGACTTCCCATTTCTCATAATTTATGACAGGATAAAACCGCAGACGGAAACGGGAAGTGACTTGCGAAATCTCTCTAATACTGTAGCGGTCACGCTCCTCATGCCACGTGTACTACGGTACCGGTACTACCGGTACTGTGCCGGCACCACCCACCTGCATATGATTTTGCAGGACGCTTCGTACTGTATTTGAATACCACACAACGTCTTGGTACTACTAGTAGTAGTAGATATCGGATGTGAGGCGTGCCCAGTTGTCGTCTTCCTACTTTACTGTCGGCCATACCAGCCGTACCCGCTCCAGAGTTAATGTGCGCTGGAGGCTTGCCTTAAATATTAAATACCGAAAGGACATTAGCCCTTGCGTACTAGCGTCGCGTTTTGGGCAGGTTTTTGCAATATGCAGGCGAGTTTCGTCGGCTCCTGGCGTAGTGTTTCAACTTCAAGAGCGCAAGAATCTCTAGGTACCGGTATAGCTCGAGGCCGTGCGATGCAGGCTCGCGGAGAGGTTGGGTGGCGTCGTATTTTATTGTGAATATGCAAACGGCAAGAGGAATCGCAAATTAATTGAAAGTCCTCGCAAACCTTGAAGCCACGCTTCTGCCCATCGCACTCGACGCGGTGTGGTTGCGCAGTTGCTGGCTGACAGAGCTTACTTACAGTACGATTACCTTGAAGCTCAGATGCGCGGGCAAGACGCGACCGTGATCACATCGAAGTCAAGATGCATCGTCGTCCTAAATGACAACTTGTCAAAATCGAAATCGGTGCTATTCGTATTAATATGGCCAACTGCAGCAAACTAGCCTCTTCTAATGGGCTCGCGCAAACTTCTAAGGGTTCGTAAGCACGTGTCGCTGCCGTTGCCGAGTACTTACATGTACTGCCTGGACGTGTCGTCGTTTGTCACAGTTCAGGATACTTCCCGCCATGGCAGCGCCAGCTGCATGCATATTTTTATTAAAATAAAAGGCTGCAGAGAGAGCCACAGAGTAGACGACGGCAACGCGACGTTTATTAATAATTTGCGGCCACTACTATGGTTGATTGCGGGCCACACGCGTGGCAGCAATCGGGGTTGAAAATAGTGAAGGCGCGTCAAAATGGAAGCTCGATGCTTCGACTGCAGGTCTCGTGTCGTTACCATTGCCCGGTTCGGCTCAACTTGGCGTTGGTTCAAAGACGTAGAACCACTCCAGGCTGCTGGAGAAGGCAGAGAATGAAAGGGGCTACGATGACACGCTCTGGTCGCACGAGAGGTTCGGCATAAGATCTGCGCTCATTGGACGACTTCGTTGAAGCTCACGGCTTCTCGATACCACGTCACTTGGAGGTGGCTGGGCGCAGGGGTATTTTAACGCGCGGTGTAGTTCTAGTTGGTATGTGGACGCAATAAATTCGTGTTGGACAACGTTTGCTCAACGCGCCCGGTGTCTTGACCGCTTCATATTTGCTTTTGATCATGGATTCGAACACGAACCCTGTCGTGCCGGCGGCTGGCACTGCCACCCCTCGTCGTCAAGCCGCGCGGGGTCGCCCGACCAGAGATGCGCAAATTGCCGCCTCCCCCCGTCGACCCAACCATTCGCTGGTCTTCGACAAGAGCGCGCTTGTGACGCCATCTGGCAACGGCGGCACGGCGCTGCGCTTCCACGCGGTGAAGTTTCGGCTTGACACGATCACGATGTATCGCAATGACTACCCGACAGACACGGAGTCGCAGCTCACAGACGTCTCCATCGCGACCATGGTGTGGCACCTCGTGCGGTGCATCATGGGCAACGACGCGATCATCGGGCGCATGGCCACGGCGGTGCAGCCGATGTGGACGTACGTCGTTCCCAGCACCATTGGTACCGCGATGGCGCACGTGCCCGCAGCGACGGGAGACCATGCCATGCGCGACCACGTCTGGGTGCACGTCGACATCAAGTCGTACGCCGTGCAGCTCTTCAACACGACCGAAGGGCCGCTCGGGGACATCCTCGCGGACCCGAGCACTAACCGCCTCTACGTCATCTCAACGAACAGCGTGCGGCGCCACGTCGTCGACGACCGCGTCCAACTCGTCGGGGCCGATTGGTTCCTCGAGGCCTTCCGCGTCATGAGCGACGTCGAGCTCACAAATATCGTTCGCAGCGTGACCAACTGCTGCTTGGACAAAGGTTCTTCGTACAACGTGCAGCCGGTGGCGCCTTTGCCGCGCGTCCCGAACCGCGCCACGATCCCGTCGTCACCGCCACGAAACGGTTCGGACTCGGAGTCGGGGACACCCGGCAGCGGGAAGCAGGCCAAGCGCAAGGCCACGACGGTACTTCAAGACCAGCCGGCTGCACAAGTCCGTCGCCTTGACCCTGCACTCTATACGCCGGCCGCTGCTCCGGTTGTCGTCGCGCCTGCCGCTGCCCCGGTTGTCGTCGCGCCTGCCGCTGCTCCGGTCGCCGTCGCGCATGCTGCAGCCGAAGCCCTCGACACCCCGCCGCAGGTCGTCACCCCGGCTTCACACACCGAGTTGCTTGCTGCGGTTCAAGATTTGCGTGGCGAAATCGCGCGACTGCGGGGTCTGCCGGAACGAGTCCTCGCGATCGAGGCGACCATGGCGAGCGACAAGGTCTTGATCGAAGAGCTCATGGCCCGCATGGATCTTCTATAGTAGCGATGCGTACTAGTACTTTTTAGCGTTTACGTAATGCTAATCAAGTCTTGCATTTGACTCAAGGTCCCAAATAGCGTAACGTGTTGAAGTGTGGGCCGTTGATTGGGGTTTGCATGGAATTGGACGATCCCATCAGAGACGTAGCGCGAGGCATTCAGAGAGACGGCGACGCAGTCGGGCTTGTTCTTGCGCTTGCATTCCTCGTACAGGCTCAAAGCACGACGCCAAAGCAAAGCAGCCGTATGCGCCGCTCAGAAGGCCAACGAAACGCTGTCCCAGAAGGCTGGTCGACTCGAGTGTGAGGAGGACGTGGGTCTCTACATACGTAAGCGTTGGAGCAGCAGCTCGAATCGACCAAGAAGCGACGGGTTCTGCTAGCTAAGAACCTATTTTGTGCAGTGGTTGCGTGTGAACGCAATTTTGAAGGCTCCCAACCTCTGGTTTCGTGGTCGGGGAAAAGTGTAAAACGTCATGAGCCACCGGTGCTTCAGGTAGATAACGTGACGATCGACGCCATCAACGACTGTCATCGTAGCCGGCGCCACGCGATATGGCATGCTCGCACCGATGCCGCGATGGGAGCGAACAGGCTAAAAGGATAGTTGAGAACCGCGCTAAAATCGTGTGAGAAGGACGTGCATGGCTCGCCTCGCCCAGCTCCGCTCGTGCTTCATCGTCTTCCGCTCTGGCACAACGCGTATCTTCCTGCGTCAAGCAAGCTCAAGTGGCTCGCGAAAGATCACGACTCGCACATCGAGACGCTCGTCGCTCAAGGTTACACGCACGTAGACAGCTTTCCAAGCCCTTGGACACGCGGTCGCCGAGCTCGAAGAACATCTACCAAGACTTTTCCAGCGTTGCAGCCAACCCGCCGTTGGATCCGGCTGCTCACGACCGCTCTCGTTCGATGCTTCCAGCTCATCCCGCCTGCCGATCATGACGTGCGCTCAACCAGTGGCCCGCCATGGCTCGTCAAGTTCGGACCCCGTGTCGTCCTCGCGGCGACTATGGACGTCAGACTGACCGGCTTCCGACAGCGACCGCGCTTTGACTGGCGTGTGCTTCCAGTGCAACACCTTGGCGTCCCAGCGACCTTCTACGAGCACCCAAGCCGAGCGGCCTCATTTGTACCTCTACTTCAGCCAACTCACGTCCTTCCACGCTACGGTGACCTCATGCACCGGGTCGCGCTGAAAGCCACGACCGTCCGAGCCAGCTTGCACTTTTTTGGCCACGATGCTCGGCACTGCCGTCTCTGCGATGCGCAAGCCCGCGAAACGTACGACCATCTTTTGGTGTGGTGCCCATACGTCCGAGCGATCTGGTGCGCCTTTGCACCGATGCGGGACAGTTGCATCTGCAAACTGTCAGCGACTCGCTGGCTTTCTCTACGACGATGTCGCCGCGCCGTACTCGGCCCACAAGTCGTCCGTTCGTACCCTCTGGCCGATCTTACGCGCTTGCGTCTGGTATTGTCTTTGGCTCGAACGCAACAACCGTGTCTTCCGCTCGACGCTGACGCAACTTCCCGCTGCTGCGCTCGCGCTCCGGGCAGCTACTATCGCACGACTGCACGTCCGGCACTTGGCTCGTCGCGCTGTGGTGCCATTTCTTGACGCGTCGCTCATAGCTCTACGCGACGACCCTTGGTGTGCACGCTACCTAGTCCCTCGCACAATCTCGAATCACGACCACTAACGCTCCTCGCTGAAGCACCGGCCAAGCCTCACGAGCGCATTAGGAAATCCACCATATCTTGCATGTATAATTGCGAGCGAAGCGTCCATCTCGATCCAGACAAGCTCCTCTTTCGGTGTGAGCGGCTGGACGACGCTGCATGGCACGGGCAGCAGCTCAATGCGAGGCAGCACGCCACCCATGGGGTCGCCGACGAGCGCAATGCAAGTGAACGGCGTGCATGACGCAGACGGTGTCATAAGGCTCGTCAGGACGACGTCCATGACGCGCGATGACGTGGGCAAGGACGTGATGCGCCACGGAAACGACGCATGTTTGGTCATCGCCGAGAGCATGTCCTTGGCTGAGACGTCGCGTGGCACCGCGTAGAGTTGTACGGCCGGCGACGACGGAGTCCACGCCAACATGAGGAGGCCGGGCGAGTTGGCGTCGGTCGCTGCCCACGCCAGCCGCGTCAACGGAGCCGACGTCGCCGTAGGAAAAACGCGCTCTGCTGCTTGTCGGTGCGAAAGACGCCAAACGCGCCGTCGTGAAAACCCGCGGCGAACCGCTTGCCGCTAGCGTGCCACGCGAGGCTCTGGACGCTGCCATGGGCCGGCGGCACGGTCGCCTTGTGCAACACCTTCTTCTTGGCGAGGTCCCAGAGAAAGATGCTCGCCTCATGTGCGCCTTCGTACGCCAGAAGCAGCTGGTTGGCGTCGCTCGGGTTGCTTGCCATCGCCGAGACTGCAACGTCGTCGCCGCTAAGCCCGAGCTGCGCGGCCTGGATCGCGTACGTAGTGAATGCGCAGGTATCTTCCTGCACGACCTACAGCGTTGCGCTTGAGGTCGTGCTAAGGATGGGCAAGAGAGAGAGAGAGAAGACGGTACCTGAATCGATCCGTCGTCAAGCGCAAGGAAGACGAACGGCGCCGACTTGTGGCTTTTGATCGTCTCGACCGCCGTGATCCGACACATTGTCCAGCTAGTTGACGTTGGCATGAAAATGGTGTGGATGTTGAGGCGTGTACCTTGGCGGCAAGGATGCGAGGATCGGCGATGCGCCAGATTGCAGCGCTCGAGCGAGACGACTTGGACGCCACTGTCGGACGAGACAAGCACAATGCGCCCGTTCGCTGTGGGTTGCAGGAAGCTCGTGGACGCACCGGCCGTCGCCTCGTTCGCGACGCACGAGACAAACAACTCGAGGCCGTCTTCTCCGTAAAGCTTGATCTGCTGGTACCCAGCAGCGACAACGAGCAGCTCGTGGGCCGCGACATAGCACACGAGCGACGGCTGCGCGGGCAAGCCATGGTGGCCGGCGAGCGAGACGGTAAACATGTCGGGCGCGAGGCGCGAGTGGTCTTCGAGGGCCTCGTCGACCTTGCCTTGGACGAGGTTGAGCACGCCCTGCAGCGACGACCGCTTCGACTTGCGCGGGGACCCGCTTCCTGGCTGATTCCCCGTGCTCGCCGAGCACCTTGGATCCGAAAATGAAGCTTTCCGAGGTGCAAGAAATAAACAAATATAATGAAACAACATGGGCAAGGTGTTGGCAAATTAAAATAATGTGTTACAAATAGACAGATATACATTGCACACCCGATAAAAAGAATGCGAAATCTTTGTTTAAAATACTTCTATTTTTATACGGCCCAGTTAATTTTCCCGACGCACTTTGACATGCATGTGTTGGTTGCGGGCCAAGGCGCAGGAGCCTAAGGCGCTGGCAAGGGAATAAATGGCAGACACAAACCACGTACGATTGCAATATGACGTGGCACTTGGAAAAGGTCCCATTTCCGCGCAAACGTTCAGTCGTGGAAAAACAAGTGGAAAAACGAGCACGACAAAGGCGAAACGCAGTGCTTTTACAAGAGAATCGGAAAAACCTTGAGCGCTGCTCATTCTGCAATTCGCGCTCCAGGGCCTCGGTCGCACGGCACCGCATCGCATGGCAGGGCGGTCGCAACTGGGCGTCCCGTCGACTGTGGACGGTGAAACTCGTGTGGCCTAGGTCCTTCTTTCGTCACTCATCGCTTCATTTCACGACATTGGTTCACAAGCTAAGCGCTTGCAACGACCGCTGCAGCCTCTTGCAGCATGCGAATGCTTGGGTCTACGGAGACGGCGAGATAAGCTGCGAGCCATAGTCTACGACTACGGACCCGGCAATCTTGCCGGCGCCGCTCTGTGGGCAATTAGGGACGTGTAGGGCGTCGAGAGGATCGGAGGTTCGGCTTGGCAACCGTGGAGCACCTCAACAGCCTGCTAGTACACATAATAGCCGATTGCGATGACCGGGCTAATGCTTTCGACCGCTTCGGCTGGAACCTGCACGCGTTCGTGGGCACACACCACGGTGAACATCTCGTCCTCGACGTGAACCGCTTGCACTTGACCGGTAAAGGCACGACCATCATGCGCGAGAAAGACGAACTGCCGCAGCCAGAGACCGAGAGGGGCTGCCGTTGCCTCCTTCGCCGTCACGATCTGGAGCTTGCAGTCGTTCTTCGGGACCTCGAACTCCACCGCCGGAGCGGCCTCCGTCGCGATCGTTCGGCACTTGAGCGTCGTTTGACCGCGCGGGCCTGCGATTGCCGTGACCCGAGCATACACTGGGCAGCGTACTTGCGTCCCAGGGACTTGCTCAGGAAGGACATAGAGGTACGTCTTGTCCTTGTACGTTGGCACCGCCATGAGTACTGCTTGCTTTGTAGGCGTCGAAATCTAGAATGCTAGCTCTACGACGGCCTCGCAAGATACGCCGCTTCGTGAAAAGATCGTTTCGACTTTTGCGCGCACAAAACACCCATTGCTCGTATTCGCACGTTTTTTGCAATCCAGTTGTCATCGAGATGGTATTAACGTTATTCATGCAAGGTTCTCGTGGGTAGCTGTACATCGATCTTGCAGCTAAAACTTGCTTGAACTTGAAGGCGCTGGCAGCCGTGTGATTCCGGAGCGATCGGCAATAACTGGATTTGCGAATAAGGGTGTTTTGGAAGTCTTCCAGTGTGTGTCTGAGACCAGTCGCCAGTTGACCGTGGTTGGAGTGGCCCTCGACCAATGCCGGTACTATCTAAAGCAGTGCACGCAATATTGTTATGCCAATGGACGTCGTGGTAAAGGCGAGCGCGACTGGAGGC